GATATGATGGAGAAAAGCCCAATAGCTTCAAGGAAGCTGTACACCAGATGATTGACAGTTATGAAGCGGGCCCAAAGAGCACACCCACACCCCCCCACACCCACCCACACCCCCCACACACCACCCCCCACACTCCCCCCCCACACCCACCACACCCACCAACAAGCCAGCAACAATACTCACTAGGAAGCTGCAGAGTATGACTGTAGCAATCTTCCACCGTCGGCTTATAAGCCGTCGAGAAGAACCCTTGGAGGAACTGGAGCACCAGGGAGGTCTTCCCTACTCCCCCAGCGCCCAAGATCACCAACTTGCTCTCCTTCATGGTGCTGGGAGAGGACTTCTCACCCCCTTCCTTCCCTCCTCTCCTACATTTCTCTCCCTTCCTGCCTCCTGTCTCTTCCTGCGCCTCTTTCACACGTGTCCTGTGGCTCTCTTTCTCTTTATTCCTTTTCATAGGCTTGAGTTAGAGTTCTGAGGGGAGGTATTTTTGCTCTTTTTCTGTCTAGGGGGAAGGGGAGATTCGAACTGGGGACTTGGTGTTATCTAGGACGATTCTGTTACCAAGCTACCTTGCTCCGGGGAGTATAAATGTCTATGTTATTGTGTCTGTCTTTTTGGGGGGTTTGTGTTGCCTTGTTGTATCAGTGCTAAGTTTAGGGCCCTTATACTGAGTGAAACTGTAGGTCTAGACCCTTATACTGAGTGAAACTGTAGGTCTGGGTCCTTATACTGAGTGAAACTGTAGGTTTGGGTCCTTATACTGAGTGAAACTGTGGGTCTGGGTCCTTATACTGAGTGAAACTGTGGGTCTGGGCCCTTATACTGAGTGAAACTGTGGGTCTGGGTCCTTATACTGAGTGAAACTGTAGGTCTAGACCCTTATACTGAGTGAAACTGTGGGTCTAGACCCTTATACTGAGTGAAACTGTGGGTCTGGGTCCTTATACTGAGTGAAACTGTACTGTGGGTCTGGGTCCTTATACTGAGTGAAACTGTGGGTCTGGGCTCTTATACTGAGTGAAACTGTGGGTCTGGGTCCTTATACTGAGTGAAACTGTGGGTCTGGGTCCTTATACTGAGTGAAACTGTAGGTCTGGGCCCTTATACTGAGTGAAACTGTGGGTCTGGGTCCTTATACTGAGTGAAACTGTGGGTCTGTCCTTATACTGAGTGAAACTGTGGGTCTGGGTCCTTATACTGAGTGAAACTGTGGGTCTGGGTCCTTATACTGAGTGAAACTGTGGGTCTGGGTCCTTATACTGAGTGAAACTGTGGGTCTGGGTCCTTATACTGAGTGAAACTGTGGGTCTGGGTCCTTATACTGAGTGAAACTGTGGGTCTGGGTCCTTATACTGAGTGAAACTGTGGGTCTGGGTCCTGGGTCCTTATACTGAGTGAAACTGTGGGTCTGGGTCCTTATACTGAGTGAAACTGTAGGTCTGGGCCCTTATACTGAGTGAAACTGTGGGTCTGGGTCCTTATACTGAGTGAAACTGTGGGTCTGGGTCCTTATACTGAGTGAAACTGTGGGTCTGGGTCCTTAGTACTGTGGGTCTGGGAGTGAAACTGTGGGTCTGGGTCCTTATACTGAGTGAAACTGTGGGTCTGGGTCCTTATACTGAGTGAAACTGTGGGTCTGGGTCCTTATACTGAGTGAAACTGTTGGTCTGGGTCCTTATACTGAGTGAAACTGTTGGTCTGGGTCCTTATACTGAGTGAAACTGTAGGTCTGGGTCCTTATACTGAGTGAAACTGGGGTCTAGACCCTTATACTGAGTGAAACTGTAGGTCTGGGTCCTTATACTGAGTGAAACTGTGGGTCTGGGTCCTTATACTGAGTGAAACTATGGGTCTGGGTCCTTATACTGAGTGAAACTGTGGGTCTAGACCCTTATACTGAGTGAAACTGTAGGTCTGGGTCCTTATACTGAGTGAAACTGTGGGTCTGGGTCCTTATACTGAGTGAAACTGTGGGTCTGGGTCCTTATACTGAGTGAAACTGTGGGTCTGGGTCCTTATACTGAGTGAAACTGTGGGTCTGGGTCCTTATACTGAGTGAAACTGTTGGTCTGGGTCCTTATACTGAGTGAAACTGTAGGTCTGGGTCCTTATACTGAGTGAAACTGTGGGTCTAGACCCTTATACTGAGTGAAACTGTAGGTCTGGGTCCTTATACTGAGTGAAACTGTGGGTCTGGGTCCTTATACTGAGTGAAACTATGGGTCTGGGTCCTTATACTGAGTGAAACTGTAGGTCTGGGTCCTTATACTGAGTGAAACTGTAGGTCTGGGTCCTTATACTGAGTGAAACTGTGGGTCTAGACCCTTATACTGAGTGAAACTGTAGGTCTGGGTCCTTATACTGAGTGAAACTGTAGGTCTGGGTCCTTATACTGAGTGAAACTGTGGGTCTAGACCCTTATACTGAGTGAAACTGTAGGTTTGGGTCCTTATACTGAGTGAAACTGTGGGTCTGGGTCCTTATACTGAGTGAAACTGTGGGTCTGGGTCCTTATACTGAGTGAAACTGTAGGTTTGGGTCCTTATACTGAGTGAAACTGTAGGTCTGGGCCCTTATACTGAGTGAAACTGTAGGTCTGGGTCCTTATACTGAGTGAAACTGTGGGTCTGGGTCCTTATACTGAGTGAAACTGTAGGTCTGGGCCCTTATACTGAGTGAAACTATGGGTCTGGGTCCTTATACTGAGTGAAACTGTAGGTCTGGGTCCTTATACTGAGTGAAACTGTAGGTCTGGGCCCTTATACTGAGTGAAACTGTAGGTCTGGGTCCTTATACTGAGTGAAACTGTAGGTCTGGGTCCTTATACTGAGTGAAACTGTAGGTCTGGGTCCTTATACTGAGTGAAACTGTAGGTCTGGGTCCTTATACTGAGTGAAACTGTAGGTCTGGGTCCTTATACTGAGTGAAACTGTAGGTCTAGACCCTTATACTGAGTGAAACTGTAGGTCTGGGCCCTTATACTGAGTGAAACAATATGTCTAGACCCTTATACTGAGTGAAATTATAAGTCTTGGCCCTTATACTGAGTGAAACAATATGTCTAGACCCTTATACTGAGTGAAACTATAGGTCTAGACCCTTATACTGAGTGAAACTGTAGGTCTGGGCCCTTATACTGAGTGAAACAATATGTCTAGACCCTTATACTGAGTGAAACTATAAGTCTTGGCCCTTATACTGAGTGAAACAATATGTCTAGACCCTTATACTGAGTGAAACTGTAGGTCTGGGTCCTTATACTGAGTGAAACTGTAGGTCTAGGTCCTTATACTGAGTGAAACTATAAGTCCAGACCTTTTCTACTGAGTAAACGTGTTGTATAATATTGGGTCTAATATGAATAAAATAGGGTCCTATACATATAATATTGGGTTATATATGCATAGTTTTAGGTGATGTCTGCGCGTTATTGAGTCTTTTATAAACAAAAAATATTGGGTCCTATATGTATAATATTGGATCCTATATGAACAATATTGGGTCCTATATGAACAATATTGGGTCCTATATGAACAATATTGGGTCCTATATGAACAATATTAGGTCCTATATGAACAATATTGGGTCCTATATGAACAATATTGGGTCCTATATGAATAATATTGGGTCCTATATGTATAATATTGGATCCTATATGAATATTATTTGGACCTATATTTACCTATATGTAAGTATATTATTGGGTACCTATACATATAATATTGGGTCCTACATGTATAATATTGATCCTACATGTATAATATTGATCCTATATAAACACTATTGGGTCCTATATGAACAATATTGGGTCCTATATGAACAATATTGGGTCCTATATGAACAATATTGGGTCCTATATGAACAATATTGGGTCCTATATGAACAATATTGGGTCCTATATGAACAATATTGGGTCCTATATGAACAATATTGGGTCCTATATGAACAATATTGGGTCCTATATGAACAATATTGGGTTCTATATAAACTATATTGGGTCCTATATGAACAATATTGGGTCCTATATGAACAATATTGGGTCCTATATGAATAATATTAGGTCATATATGAACAATATTGGGTTCTATATAAACTATATTGGGTCCTATATGAACAATATTGGGTCCTATATGAACAATATTGGGTCCTAAATGAATAATATTGGGTCCTATATAAACTATATTGGGTCCTATATGAACAATATTGGGTCCTATATGAACAATATTGGGTCCTATATGAACAATATTGGGTCCTATATGAACAATATTGGGTCCTATGAACAATATTGGGTCCTATAAATGATACTGGGTGCTATATGAACAATATTAAGTCATATATGAACAATATTGGGTCCTATATGAACAATATTGGATCTTATGTGAACAATATTGGGTCCTATATGAACAATATTGGATCTTATGTGAACAATATTGGGTCTCCATATGTATAATTAAGCACATATTTACTACTTTTCTTTATCGCCTGATCTACGAGTGACGATACAATTGTCTGATAGTTTGCCTGAACTCTGAATGCTTTTCAACACCGCGGTTGTCGTTAAAGACTCACTACCCAGAACAAAAGTTCCAAGTAGCACGGGCTATGGTGAGCCCGTATGCACTGGGGTTACAGGTGTCACTCCTGCGTGTCACTCGTGAGGGCGAGTGAATCACTCTTTCACTCTACAGGTCGAGTGAACGAGGGAGGAGAGAGAGAGAGAGAGAGTGGTGGTGAGCTGGCGCATGTCGACCTTCTTTTTGGCGCCATTTTCGCCGCCATCTTGCTTCCTGCAGCCTCTCTGTAACAAAAAAGAGATATATTTTCAATAATGCAACCTAACACGGGTGTTATGAAGATGATGCAATATTGCTATAATCAACCAATTTGTTCTGTTAACGAGAAAATGGAGAAATAGGTTAATTTAGATCAAATATCGTGAGGATTAAGAACTTTGGCGCCAATGTTTAAAGCGCAGTGTTGCCGGTTCTCATCGCATG